ATCAGGGTCCCTATCAGAGCCCCCCTACATCGGGGTCCCCATAAAAGTCCTCTTCACATCAGGGTCCCTATCAGAGCCCCCCACATCAGGGTCCCCAAAAAAGTCCTCTTCACATCAGGGCCCCTATCAGAGCCCCCCTACATCAGGGTCCCCATAAAAGTCCTCTTTATATCAGGGTTCCTATCAGAGCCTCCCTACATCAGAGTCCCCATAAAAGTCCTCTTCACATCAGAGTCCCTATCAGAGCCCCCTACATCAGGGTCCTCATAAAAGTCCTCTTCACATCAGAGTCCCTATCAGAGCCCCCCTACATCAGGGTCCCCATAAACGTCCTCTTCACATCAGAGTCCCTATCAGAGCCCCCCTACATCAGGGTACCCATAAAAGTCCTCTTTATATCAGGGTTCCTATCAGAGCCTCTCTACATCAGAGTCCCCATAAAAGTCCTCTTCACATCAGAGTCCCTATCAGAGCCCCCCTACATCAGGGTCCCCATAAAAGTCCTCTTCACATCAGAGTCCCTATCAGAGCCCCCCACATCAGGGTCCCCATAAAAGTCCTCTTCACATCAGGGTCCCTATCAGAGCCCCCCACATCAGGGTCCCCATAAAAGTCCTCTTCACATCAGAGTCCCTATCAGAGCCCCCCTACATCAGGGTCCCCATAAAAGTTCTCTTCACATCAGAGTCCCTATCAGAGCCCCCCTACATCAGGGTCCCTATAAAAGTCCTCTCCACATCAGGGTCCCTATCAGAGCCCCCCACATCGGGGTCCCCAAAAAAGTCCTCTTCACATCAGGGTCCCTTTTAGAGCTCCCCTACATCGGGGTCCCCATAAAAGTCCTCTTCACATCAGGGTCCCTATCAGAGCCCCCCTACATCAGGGTCCCCATAAAAGTCCTCTTTACATCAGGGTCCCCATCAAAGTCCTTTTCAAAATGTGACATTGAACACGCTTTTTTTAAGCACTCTGAATGTCACTAAATAAAATGTCACGTGCAGGGGCGGACTGACCAATTGGAAACTCGGGCACTGCTCAAGGGCCCGGGGTCAGTATGGGGCCCCATGAGATGCCCCTGGTACCTTTTTCATAGGCTTTTTTCAGTTTGGGCAAGGACACAGGGCCCCATGATCCCCTATTGCCTGGGGGCCCCATGAGTTGTCAGTCTGCCCCTGGTCACGTGTACCATCCTGTTCACGCTGTTGTGTTTGCTTTGCTTCAAAAATGATACTCCATGCCACTGTCTTGGTACTTCAAAGTGTCTCCAAAGCCTCCATAGAAGTCTATGACAAAGCTCGCTGACAACGCCTGCAGGTTTTGAGAGACTCCTATTCAGAGTTAGCTTCACTTTGTTTTGTAGGTATTGCAGGTATAAGATATCCCAGGATGCACTGGGAAAGCAACAAGCGAACTGGAAAGACGTCATCAGCAGTCTGGGAGTGTCTGGTGCAGATGTCACATCTAGTGTGTAGCATGGAGCAACAGGAAGGTGAGCGGGGTCCGGACCAGAGTGGAGCAACTAGCAGATGGCACACGTGGTACGCAACATGGGAACGCTATAGCGGAAAATTAGCAGGGACTAGAGACCAAGTACTGCACGACGGAGGATCAGCAGAGCTGGGGGACTGGAGCAGGAGAAAATAGCAGATGTCACATGTGGTGTGCAGCATGGGAGCAGTATAGTGAGGGGTGAGTGGAACTGGAGAGAGGAGGATCAGCAAACCAGTGGATCAGCGGAGCTGGGGGTTACTACTGAGCAGGGAATCAGAAGAGCTGTGGGTTACTATTGAGTGGAGGATCAGCAGAGCTGGGGGTTATTACTGAGCAGGGGATCAGCAGAGCTGGGGATTACTACTGAGTGGGGGATCAGGAAAGCTGGGGGGGTACTACTGAGTGTGGGGATCAGCAGAGCTGGGGGTTACTATTGAGTGGAGGATCAGCAGAGCTGGGGGTTATTACTAAGCAGGGGATCAGCAGAGCTGGGGATTACTACTGAGTGGGGGATCAGGAAAGCTGGGGGTACTACTGAGTGTGGGGATCAGCAGAGCTGGGGGTTACTATTGAGTGGAGGATCAGCAGAGCTGGGGGTTATTACTAAGCAGGGGATCAGCAGAGCTGGGGATTACTACTGAGTGGGGGATCAGAAGAGCTGGGTGTTACTATTGAGTGGAGGGTCAGCAGAGCTGGGGGTTATTACTAAGCAGGGGATCAGTAGAGCTGGGGGTACTACTAAGTTGGGGATCAGCAGAGCTGTGGGTACTACTGAGTGGGGGATCAGCAGAGCTGGGGGTACTACTAAGTGGGGGATTAGCAAAGCTGGGGGTACTACTGAGTGGGGCATCAGCAGAGCTGGGGGTGCAACTGATCACATGCACTCTCCCGAGAAAAAAAAAACTCTCTAGCAATACACACCAAACTGAGCATGTGCAGCTTTCCCCTAAGGCTCTGTTTTATCAGCAGATGGATTGAGGACAGTAGAAGAAGAAGATCAGAGAAGACAGGGCCAAACATCCTTTTTTTACACAATGCACAGGATTAACCCCTTAGGTTCCACCGTGAGTATAACAAGCATGCTTTACTGCATCTACAGACTGATTGTACTGCTGGGGGTATAGTAACATTTTAATAAATTGGACATATTGTTGACTAGTGGGCAAGTAAAAATGTGACAGCCCATCAAAAAGTTCTTTTATGTAAATATTACAATAATTTCCCTAAAATATGTTCTTTTGCAAATAAACAACAGTTTCCCTTTAAAAACATAGTCCAAATTTAGCAAAAAAAAAGTAATAAATGCGCACACCTTAATAAATAATAAAATAATGTGTATTAAATATATTTTTGCATTCAAGCCTGCTGAGCATTGCCACCATGACCGGTGATTTGCCTCATTTATATCCTAGCCTCGGGTCTGTACAGGGCTGTTATGTGGCTGGAGGAAGAAAACAGTGGAATACAAGTGTGGCCGACATCACCGACCTTCAGCCGACGGCCTGACACACTCTGTCTGATATTCTGCCGCAGTGGCAGATGGGACTTGTAGTCTTCCCATTCATATGAATGGATGGTGCAGATGTATGGGCGGAGACTCCAACATATTGCAGAGAGAAGCACCCCACGATTCAGGTAAGTTATGGGGGGGGGGTTGAGAATGGGGGTTGGAGAATGTGGCAGTGTTTCATGGGCGTTACACGAAACATGGTCCCAAAGGTGGACTTTGCCTTTAACTCTGACTAGATGCCTAAATTATAACTCACATTTATGGAATGCAGAAAGGAGAAGGAAGAGAACCAGCCGGCACTGCAATGTCTTTACATGCTGATGAATTACATAACATAAACAAAGCAGCTGGGCAAACAAGATAAACAGGATCTAATTACATCCGAGTACATAGCTATAATTAAGTGCTTCAATGAGCCTGAATTCAAAGAAACTTTCCGATAACCTCTGAAGTGAGAAGAATGCTGAGAATAAAATACACTTCGTGGGACAAGCAGAGTTCAGCATCCAGAAAATGCTCAGTTTAAGGTGCCTGCAGACTTGGCGGCCAGTCGTGTTTGTACAATCCAGTAATAAAACAAGTAAGGTAGGTGCTTTGGAGCTTAAAGCCGAACTCCAGGCAAACAAATAGAACACAAATGAAATACATACTGTATATTCTAATCCTAATTTCCCCCCCCAGCCCCCCCCCCATCCTCTCCATCACGACCAACCACGCCACCATCAGTCCCACCCCGCAAGCCAAAGTTTTAGGTGTCACTCTAGACTCCAACCTGTCCTTCCAACCCCATGTCCAATCGCTGGCAAATTCATGCAGGCTCCATCTCCGCAACATCTCCAAGATACGTACGTTCCTAACCCCAGACACTACTAAACTACTTGTTCACTCCCTTATTATCTCACGTCTGGACTACTGCAACTCCCTCCTCACTGGCCTACCTCATCACAGGCTATCCCCGCTTCAGTCTATCCTGAATTCTGCGGCCTGACTCATCCACCTTACCAACTGCTCCATATCCGCCACCCCCCTCTGCAATCCCTCTACTGGCTTCCGATTGCCCAACGGATAAAATTCAAATTATTAACATTGACGTACAAAGCTGTTCATAACACTGCCCCAAACTACATCACTGACCTGATATCCATCTACCACCCAAAACGCACTCTTCGCTCCTCACAAGACCTCCTACTCTCTAGTTCCCTGGTCTCCTCCTCCCACGCCTGACTGCAGGACTTCTCCAGGACTTCCCCCATCCTCTGGAACTCACTACCCCAATCCATCAGACTGTCACCTACCCTCCTCACCTTTAGGCGCACCCTGAAAACCAATTTCTTCAGGGAAGCCTACCCCACCCTCACCTAACAGCCGATCTCCTCCACTCCTCCTACCACTCCGTCCCCACAGCCACTTCCTCCTGTACCACTATCCCCTCCCTCCTAGATTGTAAGGGCCCTCGAACCCCTCGTGTATTGTATTGTTACTGTATTGTCTAATGTCCTGTCCCCCACTATAATGTACAGTGCAGAGCAAACCTTCTGGCACTATATAAATACTGTATAATAATAATAATATATTGAAGCTGTTTTACATGCAAAAGGGTTTGTATTTCTTTCAATCCAGTGTTGAGAATTACATAGCCCTGCCATACAGTACAGTCAGCCTTGTGACCTGCACTTTCTCTACTGCAGTTAAATCAATAAAGCATCATCATCTCCCTAGCCCTCCTATCTCATCAGAGTCCTTAGCCCCACTCTGATCTTTCCACATCAGAGTCCTCTGTTCCCCCTCTTTCACATCAGAGATGTCTGCCCTACCACTTAAAAGTCCTATCTTCCAATTTTCCCTACAGAGCAGCTGTGGCAGCATGGCAATGTGCTGGAGGAGGATTAAACGGAAGGAGGCTTTCATCCCTTTCTGAATGCTAGAGCTTATCGCTGCCCACCCTGGATTTTATTTTATTTATTATTGGTATACTTTCATTATTATTATTATACAGGATTTATATAGCGCCAACAGTTTGCTCAGAGCTTTAACTGTATACTGTATATATACATACACACCTGGCCATAGATATATAAAATCAAGCCCCTAGACATGCAGACTGCTTCTACAAACATTGGTGAAAGAATGGGTCGCTCTCAGGAGCTCAGTGACTCCAAGCGTGGTCCCGTGATAGGTTGTCACCTGTGCAATAAGTCCATCCGTGACATTTCCTGGCTACTAAATATTCCACGGTCAACTGTTAGTGGTATTATAACAAAGTGGAAGCAACTGGAAACAACAGCAACTCAGCCACAACCTGGTAGGCCATGTAAAATGACAGGCGGGATCAGCGCATGCTGAAGCGCACAGTGCGCAGAAGTCGCTAACTGTCTGCAGAGTCAATAGCTAAAGACCTCCAAACTTGGTGTGGCCTTCAGATTAGCACAACAACAGTGTGTAGAGAGCTTCATGGAATGGGTTTCCATGGCCGAGCAGCTGCATCCAAGCCTTCCATCACCAAGTGCAATGCAAAGCGTCGGATGCCGTGGTGTAAAGCACGCCGCCACTGGACTCTAGAGCAGTGGAAACGTGTTCTCTGGAGTGACAAATCACGCTTCTCTGTCTGGCAATCTGATGGATGTGTCTGGGTTTGGCGGTTGCTAGGAGAATGGTACTTGCCTGACTGTATTGTGCCAAATGTAACGTTTGGTGGAGGGGGGATTATGGTATGGGGCTGTTTTTCAGGGGTTGGGCTTGGCCCCCTAGTTCCAGTGAAGGGAACTCTTAAGGCGTCAGCATACCGAGACATTTTGCACAATTTCATGCTCCCAACTTTGTGGGAAGAGTTTGGGGACGGCCCTTTCCTGTTCCTGTTGGTTATGTGTTAGAGAAGACACTGGTAGTGATAGCAGAATTCAGACTTTACTTGTGTGGCTTAAGTTACAAACCTACAGAGCACATTTCACAGCAGACATATTACTTCCTGAAGATGATAGAGAGAGAAGAGGAACAAACAAGTTTTCAGATATACACAACTAGTAACCTTTAGTGTATAGTGCCATCTACTGGTCAAGTGATATTAACACACAATACTATATACAGTCATGGCCGAAATTGTTGGCACCCTTGATATTTTTCCTGAAAATCATGTATTTCTCACGAAACGTATTGCATTAACACATGTTTTGCTATACACATGTTTATTCCCTTTGTGTGTATTGGGACAAAACAAAAAAAGGGAGGAAAGAAAGCAAATTCGACATAATGTCACACAAACCTCCAAAAATGGGCTGGACAAAAGTATTGGCACCCTTTCACAACTGCGGATAAATAAGAATGTTACAAGCATGTGATGCTCCTGTAAACTCACCTGGGGCAAGTAACAGGTGTGGGCAATATAGAAATCACACCTGAAAGCAGATAAAAAGGAGAGACGTTCACTTAACCTTTGCATTGTGTGTCTGTCTGTGCCACACTAAGCATGGACAACAGAAAGAGGAGACGAGAACTGTCTGAGGACCTGAGAACCAAAATTGTGGCAAAATATCAACAATCTCAAGGTTACAAGTCCATCTCCAGAGAACTAGATTTGCCTTTGTCCACAGTGCGCAACATTATCAAGAAGTTTGCAACCCATGGCACTGTAGCTAATCTCCCTGGTCGTGGACGGATGAGGAAAATTGATGAAAGATTGCAACGCAGAATAGTCCGGATGGTGGATAAGCAGCCCCAAACATGTTCCAAAGACATTCAAGCTGTCCTGCAGGCTCAGGGAGCATCAGTGTCAGCGCGAACTATCCGTCGACATTTAAATGAAATGAAACGCTATGGCAGGAGACCCAGGAGGACCCCACTGCTGACACAGAGACATAAAAAAGCAAGACTACAGTTTGCCAAAATGTACTTGAGTAAGCCAAAAGCCTTCTGGGAAAACGTCTTGTGGACAGATGAGACCAAGATAGAGCTTTTCGGTAAAGCACATCATTCTACTGTTTACCGAAAACGGAATGAGGCCTACAAAGAACAAAACACAGTACCTACGGTAAAATATGGTGGAGGTTCAATGATGTTTTGGGGTTGTTTTGCTGCCTCTGGCACTGGGTGCCTTGACTGTGTGCAAGGCATCATGAAATCTGAGGATTACCAAAGGATTTTGGGTCGCACTGTAGGGCCCAGTGTCAGAAAGCTGGGTTTGCGTCCAAGATCCTGGGTCTTCCAGCAGGACAATGACCCCAAACATACGTCAAAAAGCACTCAGAAATGGATGGCAAAGAAGCGCTGGAGAGTTCTGAAGTGGCCAGCAATGAGCCCAGATCTAAATCCCATTGAACACCTGTGGAGAGATCTTAAAATTGCTGTTGGGAAAAGGTGTCCTTCCAATAAGAGAGACCTGGAGCTGTTTGCAAAGGAAGAGTGGTCCAAAATTCCGGGTGAGAGGTGTCAGAAGCTTATTGATGGTTATAGGAAGCGACTGATTTCAGTTATGTTTTCCAAAGGGTGTGCAACCAAATATTAAGTTAAGGGTGCCAATACTTTTGTCCAGCCCATTTTTGGGGTTTTGTGTGACATTATGTCATATTTGCTTTTCTGCCTCTGTTTTTATATTTGTTCCAATACATACAAAGGGAATAAACATGTGTATAGCAAAACATGTGTTAATGCAATACCTTTTTTGTGTGAAATACTTGATTTTCAGGAAAAATATCAAGGGTGCCAACAATTTCGGCCATGACTGTATATAGTACATTATAGTACATGCTGTTGCATTCCCAACAGTTCCAACGTGACTGCACACCAGTGCACAAAGCAAGGACATGGAGGAGCCAGCTTGGGGTGGAGGAACTTGACTGGCCTGCACAGTCCTGACCTCAACCCAATAGAACACCTTTAGGATGAATTAGAGTGGAGACTGCAAGCCAGGCCTTCTCCCCCGACATCAGTGCCTGACCTCACAAATGTGCTTCTGGAAGAATGGTCCAACCTTCCCATAGACACCCTCCTAAACCTTGTGGACGGCCTTCCCAGAAGAGTTGAAGCTGTTATAGCTGCAAAGGGCGGGGCCAACTCAATATTGAACCCTACGGACTAAGACTGGGATGCCATTAAACTTCATCTGCGGGTAAAGGCAGGCATCCTTGAACTTTTGGAAATATAGTGTGTGTGAATATATCTATATACTGCCCAGTTCATGTGTGTGTAAAGGCAGGTGTCCCAATACTTATAGTGTATATTGTGCATTCACATCAGTCCCTAACCCTCAAGGGGCGTACAATCTAAGATCCCTCTCTCTCATTCATACATACACATACTAGGGCCAATTTAGACAGGAGCCAATTAATCTACCAGCATGTCTTTGGAGTGTGGGAGGAAACCGGAGTACCCGGAAGGAACCCACTCAGGCACAGGGAGAACATACAAACTCCTTACAGGTTACAGGTTCAAAACAATGGAAGTACAAACCACTCCTAACCTATGCATCATGCGTTTCTATTGTGCTGGCCTCAAACCAGGCTGCACCATGGAAACGCATGATTCCCTGTAAAAAATATGTTATGTCACCTGGCACCCCTGATGAAACCAGACGACACCCCAGTTAAGAAACACTGGTCTACACTGCAGCATTTTTTAAATAAGTACTCGAGGCGCTAAGGGATCAGCAAAGGCAATATACTGTATAAAGATTAAAAACATATATTTCATTTTAAAAAGTGAGTTTATGTTCAGCATTAGCACCATGTGGGCTATGACTGTTTAATTGTATGGTAGCCCTAAATGTCTCTCCCGTCAGGGGAAACACTATATTATTGTTTACACTGGAATATAGATGTAATTAGTGGAATTCTTTATTTCTACTTACCCTTTGTGACTGCCTTATTTCATCTTCAGTGGGCTCAAGGGAAGGAAACTGAATCCCTTTCTTAATCAATTCTAAGTATAATTCTTTGACTTCAGTCTGATCTACGTTTGCGCGTGAGCCAGTGGACCAGGTCTAGTGAGAGAAAAAAATTGTGACATTCGTTATTAATATTATAGCTATAAAATCAAACAAGGCAAATTCCAGATAACTTCAAAACTCCAAAACTATACAGAATAATTATAGTCTGGTCTAAAACAGCAATGGGCAAACTACGGCCCGGCGGACCTTTTAATCCGGCCCGCGGAGCGTGATACTGTCAGGATGGCTGTCAGGATGTGTGTAGGCGGGGCAGCGTGACGAACGTGAGGGGAGCTAGGCACCTCTCACAGTCCGCCCTGAAGACCGGAACGGCGCGGGAACACGCCGAGAGGAACGCGCGGAGCAAAGGTAAGTAAATTGACACAGGGGGGACTTGGGGACTTAATATGGGGGATGAATTACTATAGGGGGGATGAATTACTATATGGGGGATGAATTACTATATGGGGGATGAATTACTATAGGGGGGATGAATTACTATGGGGGATGAATTACTATATGGGGGATGAATTACTATATGGGGGATGAATTACTATGGGGGATGAATTACTATATGGGGGATGAATTACTATGGGGGATGAATTACTATATGGGGGATGAATTACTATATGGGGGATGAATTACTATGGGGGATGAATTACTATATGGGGGATGAATTACTATGGGGGATGAATTACTATGGGGGATGAATTACTATATGGGGGATGAATTACTATATGGGGATGAATTACTATGGGGGATGAATTACTATATGGGGGATGAATTACTATATGGGGGATGAATTACTATGGGGGATGAATTACTATATGGGGGATGAATTACTATATGGGGGATGAATTACTATGGGGGATGAATTACTATATGGGGGATGAATTACTATGGGGGATGAATTACTATGGGGGATGAATTACTATGGGGGATGAATTACTATATGGGGGATGAATTACTATATGGGGGATTAATTACTATGGGGGATGAATTACTATATGGGGGATGAATTACTATATGGGGATGAATTACTATGGGGAATGAATTACTATGGGGGATGAATTACTATGGGGGACGAATTACTATATGGGGGATGAATTACTATGGGGGATGAATTACTATGGGGGATGAATTACTATAGGGGGGATGAATTACTATATGGGGGATGAATTACTATGGGGGATGAATTACTATATGGGGGATGAATTACTATGGGGGATGAATTACTATAGGGGGATGAATTACTATAG